ACCCTTAAACACATTAAATAGATAATTACAATAGTAATAATATCAACCGTGAGATGAACCTTTTAACAATAAATAATGAACATATACTTACTCCAATCGCCAACTCGCTTCTCCAAATCTGATGCAGCTTTATACCCTAAATTATAATATTAAAGTTATTGTAAAAATTCCCGATTTCAGCCCATACAAGGAATGCATACGATCATGAAATTTGAGGGGATTGCAAGTATGACACCTAATATTATACGTCAATGAATTTATTATTATTAACCTTAAAAGACAAACAATATTGTTGTTAAAAAAACAAAGGAATAAGACACTGAAAGTTGACATAAATATAAATCACTTTAATCACTCATCCATTTTTTGAGGGCCAACTATACATTAATATTAAATCGGGCAAATAAAAGTTACTATCCTATAAATTCATGATGTGTTCCCCGCATTATGCTGAAATCGATTGTTTTTCCACTAACACAATGGTGTATACTCAAGGATGGGGTGTTACCTTGTGCATAAGTATAATATACAAATTGATACAATTCAATCAATATTTCGATATAATTTGTTTAACATAAAACAACCATTTTATCGAAAAGTCTTAACTTTTATTTTCAAAGTTTTGGATTACGGTATACACTTTTCATTTTTAATAATTAATCTATATAATCTTGAAAAAGTTCAATACTTTTTGATATAATGGCTGTTAAATGAAATATACCACCCTGCGTATTGTATATATATTATTTTTTATATAACCCCTCTCATGAAAAATATCTATGTATGCCACTGAAATAACCAATGTATCATTTTTAAATTTTAGAAACACAAAATATGTAGTTCATTATAAGAGTACTCGTATTACATGCATTAACAGTTAATAACATGCTATTAAAAATAGTTCTGATATTCAAAAATATAAATTAAATACTTGCCTTCGACTTTTACTCCTATCAAGAAACCGGCACTTACCATTTGATCTGTAATGATAAAATGATACAAATAACATCGAATTCGTATAATATTTTTAAAACTATCAACAAGTATAGGAATTATAAATATATTATGTATTCAATTTGTATACAATTGATAAAGATTATAATCGATAAAAATGTCATAAAACTCACCAATACAATCTTGATATTTACTACCTTGATCCAAAATAATTAATCGTTAATAAAAAATATTTTATATTTCATAATCAATGCGGTACCTTACAATAATATTGCATATAAACGACTAAAAATATAAAATTTTCATGAACGTCAATCGTCTTTACAATTTTGAAATTTTTATAGTTTTTTATGCTATTGTTTGAATTGGTAATTATGATTTTAATTGGGTTATGATATTATTAAGAACACATTAAAATAATTAACATAAGTCTGAATATTATTATTAAAAATAACCATAGCTGTATAATTTAATTTTTAAAAAAGTCCACTGTAATTAACAACTTTATGATGGTATAAACTAATCCTACAGTTAGACGATATATGTACATAATTCTATCCAAATTAATATTTATCATAATAATAGAGTCAAAAGCATAATTGTGTTAAATATTATTATTACTTATTTGATTATTTCTTTAGTATAACATTTTATGAACAAAACAATTACAAGATGGTAATTTATACCTATGATTCTCTATTAATATCAATCCAAAAATACAAATTTAAAATAAATATTACTCACCATGAACGTATATTATACAACCAATAGCATTTAAAATAAAAAATAGAGTGAACATATTAATATTTTTGACCATTTTGGTGGGTACAATAAATTAATATGTACAGCGCAAAAATAAGAATAATATAAAATACATTCTAGCTTTGGTATTTATAGGATTATTTAGTAAACAAACCATGATTGTCCAAAAATAATTGAGTACACGAATCTAGAAAACAGTAAGTAGGTATAATGATAAAATAAACGTGCTGTATGCACAGTCTGTGAGCATAACGATGACTTGTGAACGCATACAATTTAAAGTTCTGCAAGACTATACAAAGCGCCCACGTTCTGCAATCTTAATTTTTACCCAACCGTACAAAGTTTCCGCTTTTCGCACTTTTATAATATTTGGCTGTTATAGTGGCGCAATTATGGGGCTGTTAGATAGCCATATGGTCCGGACCCTCCTTCCATTGGCCCCTGCAACACCTATCAAACATCTTATATAAATATACTCTGTGTTAGGTAATATAAATTGTAATCACATAAAATAATATATTTTTACGTAATCGTAAAAATAAAATCATAATTATTTTATTATGCATGGTTGCCACTTGCCAGATGGAAATCTATAAATGGTCTTCGGAGTCCATCATCTTGGGCTGTTAATTTGAGGGACTAACTAGTTAAAATTTCACGTATTGTGTTAGAACATCCAGCCCGATGGCGTTTAAACATAGACATAAAATATTATGGTTATAGATAAAATTTTTAATAATTTTCTGGTAAACAAAATTATACCATCAGCTACCTAATTTAAATACCTAGGTCTACTCGTAGGCAAACGCTTAATTCGAGCCGAATATATTAAACAAATACCTCTTACGTAACTTTTGACGAAAATGTCTTTAACCCACTGCTAGGTAAACAATCCAAATTAAACCTTAATAATAAACTATTGCTTTACAAAACCCTTCTGAAACCCATTTGGGCTTACGACGTCCAATTATGGGGAACTGCAAAAAAATAGAACATTTATGAAATGCAAACGTTCCAATCAATTACATTTCGTATAATTACCAACGCTCCTTTTTATGTTATAGGTCTAGGTACCCAAAGGCCACATAATATAATCGTTAAATATTTCATGCAACTTGTTGAGTTCAGGATTATGTTTGTAAATCGATCCAAACAAAAATAACTACGCACTTCTATTAATAATAAGTAAATTTCTACTAATGCATGACGTACACATACCTAAGTAATATTATAATAATATAATGAAGTGTGTACAGTAGGTAGGTAGTAGGTACGCTAAAACTCGGCCGTTTATACAACTATACAAGTGAGTAGGAATAGATAAATAGATGAATAGATGATAGGTAGGTATAGGTAGATATGAGTACGGCAGTATTGTATTACGGCAATAATACATAATAGGTACATTATAAACAAATAAATATTGCAACCACATTTTCTTCGTTGTAAGTATTCACTTTATTTTGTAGGTACTAAGTTCTAAACAATATTCCATCACAACAGAATATCCAATACAAATCAATCCCATACATAATTAATAATTATTATAGATATATGTATATTATTAGGTATAGTATAACTATTATACTACACATAGATATAGGTATATATGTAGTTAATTAACGCAATAATGCAATATTAGATACTTTAGACAGTAAAGAAAATCAACCACATTTATAGATATACCTACAACTAACTATTTAAACAATATAAACTATAAACAATCTATTTTACACAACCATAATGCTAATGAGCAATATTAATTACATATGTTATTAAATTAAGTTATGGCGCCAACCATAAATTGTAAAATTAGTTGTTGTGCTTATGAATGCTTGAAAACAGGCACCAAACACTATCACTATAGTTACCTATTATAGCTATAGCCATGACTAAATACATTTATGATATAACACGGTACCATAATCACTGTTAATAATTTTAATCAAGAGGATGTCAGTGGACTATTTGTTTTTTCTCTAAGACCCACGTACAACACAGCACATTTGCGTTCAGTAGTACGAACCTTGTGTTGTTAGCTTTATATTTGAGAAAAATGACCATCCCTAAAGCTAAGAACATTAGGTTCTTTTTTTCAATATTTAAATTTTTACGAGATTTATGATTGTAAAATACTAAAATGTTACAATTTAATAATACTCGTATCTTTGTTTCAAATTGAAATATCATAAAAAAAACCAACGTAAAAACAAAATATATTATAATACTCTGAACTTTGAATTTGATAACTTGCTCTAGTACTTACCTACACTAACAACACAATATTGGTCTGCTGAAAACCAATTTATTCTGTGCGCGACTTCCATGAGGGTCGGAGAAAAAAAAACAGATAGTGTTCTGATTTCCTTTTAATAACAATTAGAACAATTATAAACATCCATTAAAAAAATAAATTAATAATTATATTGTGTATTTTAGTTATATTTTTCAATCTCACTTATAAATTACTTCTTAATTCGACACAATTTTAGTTTATATACCTAGTTATACAAATTGCAAAGGTAAGATTCTTATTCTTAAAAAAGTAATTTATAATTTTAGAAGCAAAAAAATGTTTTTGAAAAAATACAATAAATTTCCGTTTTTCTTTCAGTCAAATGAAATTGTTTACAATATATATTTTGTAAATTGTAATATCTTTTTTTACAATAAACTAATATCCATAATACAACTGTATAAGTATAATGCATACAACCTACTTCTGTCTTTTATGGTTAAAAATAGTAAATATAATTGAATACAACACGAGTAATTTGTATTTGAATATAATAATATTATTACATTGTTAAACTATAGTTAATCATGTTCTTATATAATATACGTTACATATACATATATCTTATTGTATTCATATAATTTAATAATAAATTATAGAATATTATTAAAGCCATCAATCATTAAACTCCAAAAAATTCAAAAAATAATAAAAACTCAATAATTGTACCAACAAAGAGATCAAAACTAATTATAATAAACTAAATATTTTATAACCATAAATCATTTATTTGAGCACAAGCAGTTTTAATGCTATACCTACTATAGTTATAAATGTTATAATTATTAATTTGTCTTTCATATTAAAACAATAAGTGCTTGTATGTGCATCATATCTCAGGAAAAAAACATGTATTATGTGCAGTATGCACTAATATATAATTCTAACAGGTAGATCAATAGTTACTCAATGAACCTTTTGGCTCCTGTCACTTAACTCGAGGTCCTAGGGTGCAGCGAAACTTGGAAGAGTGGAAATAGTCAACCTAAGAAGCCCTTCAAAGTCAGAGGAGAATTGGATCAATGTATACCACCCTCCAGGTAGATGGGTAAATGTTCATTTAATGGGTGTAAACGTTGCCAGTTAAATTAGTTGCTCCCTATGCAAGTTTGCTCTTGCAACAACGTAATACAGGAAGTACCTACTAAACCATTTCATAAGTATAATGAGATAATAAAAGTTTATTCATTAAATAGGTATAAAATACCTAATAAATAATGAGATTACATTTGCCATGTTTTTTTGGGGGGAATATAGTAACACACAAGGACCAAACAAAAAAACTTAATTATAGATAAATGTTAAATGTGTATGGCATTAGTTTCATTTTTTTTTACCACATCATTATCATCAACATTCAAATACAAACATGAAGTAACAGATCTTGTGTTAGAAGGTTGGAATTTGAGTGGGAGAACAGTTAAATTTTCTAACTCTTGAGCGGTAGATTGATTGACAATAGCAGTACTTATACATGATACTGTTGATTCTGATGCAATATTAGAAAATGGAGAAGCGTGTTTTGCGCGATTTTTATGTCTTTCATTCATATTAATGTTTTGTAATTTCTTACAACAACGATATGGATATGGACCATGATCATAATCTGAACCAAATACTGATAAAAGCGATACTAAGAAAAAAGTTGAGTAAAACCAACTAATGAACATTATAATAATCAAAAAAATACCAAGCTGAGCGTACGGTAAAACATCTGATGGCAACATGAATGCTCCACTAGCACCAGTTGTGATTGCGCCCATCAATGATGGACAAGCCATTAAGGACAATGCTTTTGAAATGGCTGTTGCTCTTGGTGAATCTTCACAAGCCAGCTGATACTCAATAGTATAATGTAGACTAAAATCAACAGATAAACCAATAGCTACAGAAGTAGCGATTGATTCCAAGACGTTGAGATGCCAACCCATCAAAACTAACATAGCAATTGTAGTGCATATGATAAAAAATATGGTGAGCACTGTAATTACAGTTAATGAGATACTTGTAGTTACAAAGAACATTATGGTAAAAGCAAGAAAAAGTGCAATAAAAGCTGACATTATAGTGTCCTCAATTAATGTCTTTTGAAGATCATAAAAGCCAAGATGACTGTAAAACCAACCGTTTCTGAGGCCAGGAGGAGCAGTTTCCATCATTTTAGATGACCATGACTCAACCTAAATTATAAAAATCCGTTTTAACACAGTAAACACAAAATCATTAATGGCAAATAGTTAAATAAAGTCAAATTTAAATTACTTGTTTATAAAAGAGTTCCATATCGGTATAAGATGTAGTAAAAATAAAATTACTTTCAAACTCTACAACAACAGCTTTTATGATTGGCATGAGTGTTTGGTTTTCTGAATGAAATAATGGATTTGAAAACTTTGGTCCAGCTGCAGAAGGGACAAATATGGAAACTGGTGTATTATATACAATGTACATAGCTTTCATAATACAGAAATGAAATATATTTCTTGGATATGGAAACCCAAAAGTATTACAGCATGGCCATCTATCATTTTCAAGATTATTCACACAATCATGGCTCATCCACTTAACAAAAGTTTCCATAAAACAATTTGTCATTTGAGGTCCACCAACAGCTCGATAGAAGGGTTGTAAACGTAAATTTGCACAAAACTGCAATAGCCAACTTTGAGACTTTGGATGCGCTATATCAAAATTGGGATCATACACTAAACTTCCATGATCTTCTGGATCCAAATGATTACCCGTATCATTGGGAAACACACCCCAGACAAAGCGTAGTGGAACACGATTTTCTGGATTATTATCAATCTAAAAAATAAAAAATATAAATATAATATAGATGTATTCATATTTTAAATAATAACTATTGTTGTGTTACAGGTTGACTTACCCTTAAAATTCTTTCAAACCAAAATTGGTTTTTATATACCAAATCATATTGTTCAAATGGATGAGACTCTCGAAACAACTGAAATTCAACAGATTCTGGTAGTTTCATGCCTGGCCATATCCATATTATAGTTACACTCAAAGTTCCCAGGATGAAAAATAATATTATCCACACCCATCGAAAGCGAAACACAATTTTTAATAACCATGCATTAAAAGAAGTTTGAATTCTACGTAACATTTTCTCCATTGAAAGTAATTTATTAACTGACCCAACTTCAAATAACACAATATTATGCCTGTTCTTCGAGCTTAAAAGTACAATGCAGGATGGCAGTAGACTTACAGTTATTAACAAATTCACAAAAACTGCCATAGCTGAAAAAATACTAAAAAAATAATAGTAATAATAATTAGAATAACCAAATATTTTTAGTAAGTATGATTTTAACGAACACACCTAAAACAGCTAATTCCATTAATAGCACTGAGAAATGATGATGCAAAAGCACAAAATGTCGTTGTCGTTGATAATGATATAGACAGTAATGAATGTTTTAATGTCTTAGAAATGACATCAATTAAAGAGCCAGCCTGGTCATTGATCTTGATAACTTTCCACACATCACACATGATGAATGATGAATCTGCACTGACTCCAATAAGTACAATTATGGCAAGGACATTCATGAATGGAAAAAAATGTATTTGAAACACAAATGTATAAACAAAATAGGAAACGGATAAAGAAAATAGAATATTCAATAGGGTCACAATTGTAATTATTATTGACCATGTGTAAAATAATACACATAACATAATGAAAAAGATACTCAGGAAAATTAGATATATATCCCTGACAAGCTCAAGATCAAACAACTTTTCTTTAATACCTAAAAATGATTAATACAATATATATATAATATTATAAATTTTAAATATAAATTATCATTAAAAGTTAATTATACAATACTGAACATATTTATTACCGAAATCAATTGCTGAAATTCTAACTAATGGTGTCGACAAATTAGCATCTTTCATTGCTTCATATACATGAACAATTGATCCTTTTCCAAATGGTAAAAACATCATTGAACTTGTTAAAACATTCGTTGAAGCCTAAAAGTTTTAAAAAAAATTATAAAAATTATATGTAGTTTAGGTAACAAAAAAATTAGATTTACATGTGGTGGCATAAAATTTACGTCTAAGTGATAATGCATTAAATTATAAACACCACTAAATTGAACACATTGGCGAGGTATTGTTGTATGATCTGTTTGCCATTCAAACAACTTATTGTCATGATAAAAATGAGCACATCCTTCAAGTATTGTCATTGTTGCATTAATATCTCTAGGCTAAATAATAATATGTAATATAATTAGTATTTTTAATTTAAAACCAGCTAACTTTTATTCAAATTACTGTAATTTCTGAACAAGACTTATGTTTTCTTAACAATGTAATATAGTTAACCAAAGACCACGGTGGGCAACATGCATGATCTTGTACATCACAAACATCTTTATATGCTACCAGGTTTTCTAAATGCTCCTGTATAAGACACATATCCTTGACTGCTTGGTAGGTAAAAAGATGTTCACCATCATTGGATGTAAATATCACCCTTGCGTGATCATATGCTACAAAATCATAAGAATAAAGAATTTTATTTACAACACATAAAACTATGAATGTACTAAATAATTAGAAATTTGAGATGTTGATGTTATGTACCAATTTGGTTCAATTTTCAAATCCAAAAACATAAATTTAACAAAAATTTAATCTGTTTCAAAATTGAACTGAGCTCAAATTTAATACAACATCCTTGGCTCTAATAATATTTTTAAAGAAATAGTGATAATAAATTTTAAAATCGAATCAGATACATAATCATTTATACTAGATAACTCTTTTTAATAATTTACTAATAAATTATTATATTTCCAGTTGGAGTTTGGTAATTGGCAATTAAAGAGCCTGGTGCAAGATCCAAGTATCCCCATATTTTGGAATTGTATAGGAGATATAAAACAATACCCGGTTATTGCACCGAACTCTGCTGGTAATACCAGACATCTCCATTTATTTTGTATGATATTAGCTTATCTAACAGAAGAATATGCCTGGTAATTGCACTGTACTGCGATAAAAATTGGAAATACCCTGCTCTCGCACCGGACTCTTCAATTACTACTGTTCAATATTCTGCTGATTTTAGATACAAATATATTTTATATTTTAAATGCATTTGAGAGTTACAATAAGCAAACAATTTGTACTTGGAGTATCAAAAATACACTAACTTTGTTTCAAAATAAAATGGCATGTATCATTTATCATTATCCTATAATGTTTTAAAACTATATTTTGATGATTGAGACTTCCAACCTCTATCAGCACATACAATATTTTCACAGAAACCACTTTCCAGTCAATATTGGGATTAAATAAAACTTTTGGAACACACTTGATCAAAACATTTTTACCATAATTAGAAATATATTATTTTAAGAACTTTCTTATTCTCCTCTGATTATAATATACAAGACAACAATATTTAGAACTAAAATATGCATTAAAATCATTAAAAACATTGTATTTATTATTTTGAATTCAAAATTATCCATACTCTGTTGCAAAAGAGAATAATCAGTTGGCTGACCGCTTTACATCAGTGCTTCGTATCTCCCACGAACTTTCCAGTGTTAGAGTGATCAAGTGGTTTTCGACTTGCCAATAGCATAATGTGTGATGAGCAAAAAGTGATTGTTCTTTTTTGGGACAAAGTAAAGAAAATAATAAATATTTTAGGGTATTTTTCTTATCTGATTTTAAAATTACTTTTTTCAGCTGTTTATGATATACTCAAAATAAATAAAATGTAATTGATGCACAAAAACTTAGCTTTTATCTATAATCAATGGATATAGGTATTTTATCCACATCTTAAAAAAAATAGCAAATGCTATATTATCTAAGCTCTAATAATATTATATAAACTAGAAAAAAAATAGAACTATTAAATATTCAATTTAATGTTAAAAAGCATGAATAAATAAATATTAATATTACTAACTTGGTTTGGAACAAAAAAAATCTAATCTATTCTTTCGTCTTTTTTTATCATTTCGTTGAGTCATCATTTCAGTTTCTTCAAATACTTCATCGTCTAATGGAGATGTTTGAGGTAGAAATTTCTTTAAATCTGTACTTGTAGACTCCATATCAGAATTCAAATTCTTCTATGAATAACAAAATTATAGAACATTGTGTATAAATAAAATTTTATTTACAAGTATCTGAATAATATTTTTTAAATTGAAATATAAAGAACTTTAAATTCTTAAAAATATTTTAAAAATACAAAAAATAACTTACATAATTAACTAAAACATCATTTTTTTTTAAGTCCATATTGTTATACTGTTGTGGTAATATATCAGTTGGTATTCTTGTAATATCATCTATCATCTCTGTGCCTTTTTCTAATGCTTTGATTAAATTGTCCCAAGTAACTTGACGATTACCGATTTCAGTACCACGTGTCTCAAAACCCTGTTTACAACATAAGACATTGTTTAAATAACTTAATTTTAAATTGTATACTGTAATTTACTGTAATAGGTATATTTTACTTATAATAAATACTCAATATTACTACAAATTAAAGCAATTTTCTTTTACTGAAAAATTCCAAATTATTTCAACTTTTATATTGATCAAATATTTTTAACAGGTTTTTAGTCCATTTAAAGTTATTCTAACCGGGAAACAATATTCTGTTAGTAGTTTTCTACTAATTCAGCGAAGGGTGGATTCTCTCTTTCTTTATGTCTTTGTAAATTTTTTTATAACTATAACACTATCTTGACCAATCCGAACAAAGCAATTTGAATGCCCAACACAAACATCATGGACAAAATCAAACATAACACAAACATTCAGAAATAAAATCTACTCTGTGGCTTGGCATGGCGCGTTGGCTGCTACCAGTTACGGAATGCGACTGGGAGTAAGTAACGGCCACACCTACGAGCTCTCGGATGGATGACCACCCGGGTTCATAGTGGTTAAAAACATTGCCACACATACCGACCACCAACCATAACAATCGTAAAAATAACCTACCGTACAAACCTTACCCCTACCACATTTCATAACCCCTCTACTCTTTCCCACTTATAAATGTTTACTTTTTTATCAATTTCACATAAAAAATATTTTAGATATAAATCATAAATTAATTTAATTAATTAAATCAATATAAAATTTTTAAATACTTACAAGTTCAGGATGTGAGAACTCTGGTAAGCGTCCAATAAAATAAGGTATAAGAATAGTGCTACTACATAATAACACCACAGTTGCTATTACTTTACGTGGATGGTTTACTAATAATTTCACGTACCTAAAATAAATTTTAAAATAATGTAAATAAAAATAAATGAAAAAATAAATACAAATTTTGATGAAAAATACTAAATTCAAATAATAATTCATTTTAAGTTAAAATGCACAGACATTATATCATCAAGACAATACAATCATAAAAATTCATTTTTTAACTGGAACTATACTATACTATTAAAATATTATAATTTATAATTTATAAGCAATTATGTATAATTATTTATAATTATACAAATTGTATCAACATCTGCAATAATGTCATAAAAGATAAACTCTAAAGCATGCAAGTATATATATAGAGAAATCACTTTGAAATGTATAATATTTTATATGTATCTATCTAACGTTACAATATTAATAATTATTATTGGGTCCCAGATTTAAATGCAAAAAATATTGTAGACTTATACAAAAAATAAATAAATAAAATATGTAGGTACACAACATTTCAAAATTTACAGAGTATACATCAAAAATCTATATTATCCATAGGCCATAGGCACAAATAGTGTTTGAGATTTGCAGTGGGGAGCTAAAGCTCAGGTCAGCTTTTGTGAGGCTTTTCTAGTACCTATTACAAAATCCCTAAACAAATGTTGAAAATAAATTAAATCTTCAACTTTTTTTTTGGTTGGTGTGGGGACTGAGGGGGCTATTACTTCAGTTAGAGTTTGACCCCTTATCCCACTACTTGTGCCCATGTTTACCTATTCATAAAAATACTTGAAAAATGGTATGATGAAAATGTAAAAATTGTAAAGTTTTTTTCATTTATTATGAAACAATTTAAACTAGAAAATTAAAAATTTAGTATCAAATAAAATATTAAGAAAAAGATAAATTTATCCAACAGATATCTCAATTATTTAAGTCTCAAAATAATTTATTAATTCGTCAAAAATCGAAAATTTAATAAAAGTTAAAATTATTTTTATTTAATACCTATTCGTAATGTAATTGTCTAAAAACAACTTAATAAATGAAAGAAAATAAATATAATGTTATATTTACCAGTCAATCATTTTAATAAAATCAGTGAACAAATTGAAGACTTAATTTACAATATCAAATAATGTGTAGGTTTAGGTTGAGTAGGGTACAAATTAATTTCTTCCAAAGTTCCAACCATCAATTCTTTGGTCCTGAAAATATAAATACATTAATGAAAAATCTAAAATATGCCTCCCCTTAACTTAATTCTAGTTTTAAAGCTAAACACATTACACTTCTTTAGTTTGGAAATAAAAATATATTTTATAACAAAACTGGCAACCACTGATTTATCTCCTGCCTACAAAATAGCACACTTTGTTTAACTTAGACCTCGTAAATAACCAAAATAGAAATTAATTTTACACTTCTGTATGAAACAAATCGACTTTTGTTTTCAAAGTGCATAAGTGGTATTTATTCTGATATGCCTAAAATGTGCAATTTTATTTTATTTAACTAGGTACCTATGCAATTATAATCAAAAACAATTAATTAAATCGATTAAATAGGGATCACCACTGCTAATAAATCGACAATAATTATTTGTACGATTGTACCTATAGGTACCCATAGACTATTTTATAGATAGGAGATATTTTACTATAGCATTGTTTTATTATTGAAATCTTAACAATGAATCACAGTAACGATAGATATAAGATGGGGGCGCCGACGCACACCATCAATTGATACTTCCGAATTCCTTTGAAAAACAACCACATGGGTCATGGACATTGGACATATTGCTGCATGTCTACGTGTACCCGTGTGCGGTTTTGAATATTCGAATTTTACCTGGTGTCACACTTGCGAATATTGCGCAGCGGTCTTTCCGCTATAATTTGTCCAGTAGTATTTAAATGTATACATTTCGATATTACGGAAATTCCGTAATATCGAGAACAATGATTTTTTTTAAATGAGATTTTAACATTAGTTTTATAATATCTCGGCAATAACAATAATATTAATAACATTAAGAAGGTACCAAGAAATTAACAAACACTAGAAAATATTCTTATCTATATAGTATTTGCCTCGGTATTTGCTATAATGCATAGTATTATGGTCTGGTCGATGGGTTGACGATGGCGGAACATTGTTCGTCCCGTGTTCGATACAAAACCATTAGTCATAACGATTTACTATCGAGAGACGAGAATCACGAAATTACAATAACTAGAAAATTAGAAACCATTGAATAAAGATGTGCAAGTAGGATTGTAGAGTATTAGAGACTAGAGTAGGATTCATAGATGGTCAGATGGGTGTAAAACTGTATTATGATTGATAATATAGTAAGACTGTAGAACCGTAGAAGTATCATTGCCCATTGGTACCCATTAAGTCAATAATAAGCACATCACTCATACGAATATGGAGATTAAGCTATGGGCGAGTTTATGAAATTTGTCAGGTGTTTGGAAAAATGGGCAAAATGTGTGGTGGTGAATATCTTAAATAATTGGTATATTTTGCGGTTGGGTGAAATTTAACATTTTACCCATTTCACTTAGCAATTTATATGAGCACAAAAAACTAATTAACCCAAACTCATTAGATATGGCACATAAAAATGAACTAGGCAGTTGCAGACCACTAGACAAATAGTAAATTAGTAACCAATAGGTATGGTAAATAATAATCCTATTTAAATCTGTAATGATTGTATAACGCAGTACTCTATCAAAAACGAGTATACCAGCTGCAGTGTTTGCTGTACCGGCTGGTATAACTGATAGAATTCGAGCAGTCGGTGGTTTGGCGCGTATTGGTGCATACAATGTATATGTAGTGACATGATGAGAAATAATAATATGATCCCTCGAATACCGGCAATACCGCTATATACATTAAAAAGTAATAATACGTTTATATTTTTGTAACTTTTCAGTTTTAATCATGATCAGAGTAACGGGCTACCTATTCGTCAAAAAACGGAAAAAATGCTTTAAATGCGCAAAAAATTATATCCATACAGTTTTGAATAAAAGACCCTGTTAATATCGAAGTCAATTTATGTTCATTAGTTCATTGTTAACTAATCACTATATAATATGAATATTGATATTGATGAAAAAATCATGATAAACAAATTTAAAACCTATGATTTGTATAAAAAGTATGTTGACCCTATAATTAACCACGTTAAGACAGATATCTGTACAATTAACAAACCGTTGTATGATTATATGACACAACTTGTGTAGTTTGTATCAATCTATACATTTTTTAAATTTTATAAATATGTTAACTATTTATAATAGTTATCTTATACATAGGTATCGATTAAAGTTATAACTGGATGTGGAATGGAATGTATAAAAAATACTTTGATAAGAAATGTTGATTTCTCACAAGCTTAGACATACCTATTTGGAGACAAATAGACAATCATTTTTACTGTTAAATAAAATCGTACAACAAACATATTGTAAAACATGTAAAATTACATGTGTAATTATAACTGAAACGCAAATTTGTTTCGGGGTATCCTATAAGACAAAAATCTCTCAAAATCACAGGTAGTACGTTTTAATACAATGTAATATTTTTAAAAACGTTGCCATGGTCTCGAGTCGTTGGGTCCCGCTCTGTAGTATAGTTATTATATTGTGTAACCGTGCAGGTACATACCCAGTAAGTACCTAGTCTACCAGCCAGACCTACCGGTTAGGTACGAAGACGGCGCGAAGGGAAATTAAACGCCACGAGTACCGCAATGGTTACGCACGGTTAGGTTATAATGACCACAGATGCTCGCCAAATATGTCGGTGTACAATTTTAGTGTTGACGATCTATGCCGCGCACGGTAAACGAAAACAAGCGATGCACAACCCGTGCGATCTGCAACGGGCGACGACCGATCAGCACACATCGCGGACAACGACACCGCACTGAAGACTGAGCGCCGGACGACGACTGCCGAGTGCCGTGCCGCCGGAGAGGCGAGCGCGAGAGAATGTCATCGTCGCGGGTCGGCAGATCGTTAAAGCCTGTTCGGGCCGGGACGACGTATCGACAACGCGGTAACGCGGTACACGACGAGTGATTAAGGGCGGGAAAGCGCGGCGAGCACACGGTTCCCATGGAAACAACGACATCACTGCACCCGTACAACGGCGCTATGCATGCCCACATCCAGCATCCAGTACCAGCCCCCCCCCCCCACGATCGGGACACCTGTTGGTTCGATCGGTTCACATAGGTTTACGAGACGTGAAAATTCAAAATACGTGGAGGGGGATGGCAACGTTCACGGTTTTACCCGAATCTCGTTGATTTGATGATTTCACGAATCTGTACGACCTTACGTTCGATAGATCGATTCGTTGAAAGTGGCATAGTGGCCAGTGGGGCCTAACAGGGCCTATCAATTATTCGAATAAGTTTAGTGCCGAACGAATTAAATAGGCTAAATAATTTTGGAATAATACCTACAATAAACATTAAACAATCAGACTGTTGTCGTAGATAAGTTTGTTTATAAATGAAGGTAATTATAAAATACAAACTAACCAACATGGGGGGGGGATAACGTTCTCATAATTAGGATAACCCTAGTACCCTACTTTGTAGCTGCACTTTTATGCACAAACTATAGCCAACAATGGACCTTCAAGTTGCAAATTCCAGAGAAGGAGTGAAAAAGTAGACCTGATTTGAATTGAGTAACATAATAATTATCAAAATTAGTGTTTCAATATTCAAAGTGTGTAAATCAGGGGAAAATTTCGGGTGAGGAGACTTGAAAAATACATTGTATTGTTGTATTGAATAAATGATACATTATTAATTTAATTTTTGTTCCTATTGATATTTTGTGGGTAGTTAACCCTTTAAGGCATTATAGGTTATCACTGCTGTTAAAGGTTTCATACTGAAATGTCCGGATTCACCCCTAATGTGGCCTGTACACAGTGGCGGTGTGAAATTTCTTTTCCTATGAAGCAACTACCTTAAATAAGTACCTACCTACACACCAATTTTTTCACATTTTAATTGTAGTCTGTAGATCATATGTAACTATGTGAGTATAAATTAAAAACTAGTCTAGCAGTTTAGGTCTTGGAGACTGGAGTCATTGGGGTACCCACTCCCACTTTTGTATGAGGCAGCTGCTTGTTATTCACAATGCCACTTCTTGTACACAAGAATTAAAGTGGAGGGACACAGTCCCTCTTCTCTAACGGTGGTTTTAAAAGTGTCCCTATAAAAATGTAATAGGTATTTTTTGTGATTTAAATTTTACATGAATTACAAATTTAAACATTATTCAGGGGTAAAAGTGGGATGAGTAGTTATCTCACTTATTAGGGCAATTATTGGTGATCAAGTTTAATTTTAACAATCCCAAAAGTTTAAAATAATCTAATCTATACCACAACATATTTCATTACAATCTAAATTCAGATATTGAACACTATATTCACTTATTAAATACTAATTTTGAAAATCACAATATAGAAGTTTTAACATAAAGTACCAAAATCATTAATATGAAATCTTATCAGTCGTAACCTAACAATTTCTCCCATCTAAATTATTTAAAAATTGGTTTAAATAATTTTATAACAATGATGTTGAGTTCTCAATTATGTCTATATGGTCTAGTGTTTTGTACATTCTTTACCTAGAATGAAATAGGTATATCTAAAAAATTATTAATTTGTCTAGTTACTGTCTACTGATGTATACTGTAGTTTCCTTAAAGATTTTATTTGTTTGTCTTCGGCTAAACTGTACATTGATTGTTTTAATAAATTCCTATTTAATAGTGATGAGTGATGACTATTATTGATTAATTGATATAGCAAGCAAGTGTAATTTCTATACATGGTCCACCAAAGGAACCACTTACAGAAATTTCAATTTAGAAGGACAACAAATAAATTTATTGAAGGATATACCAATTTAATATTTGTAATAAAAAGAAGCTATATGTGTGTTCTTTGTCTCCACCGTACAAAACCACACCTAACATAGCTAGTGAAATATTTTGAATAATCCATTTAACTCTGGTACGTTTAATATTAGAGAGAATTGATCTATTATAAAATTAAAAATAAGAATATTAACTAGTGAATCTCATGGATTTATTTTTCATTTTAATTTATCGTGTGAACGTCGCAAGATAAGAACATTTTAATTGTGCAAACAATTTACAATTTTAAAATGCTTATAACTCACTTTAAATTTCAATTATAATATCTATGAGATTCATTAGATAATATACTCAATTTAAATTTTATAAAAGGTCATTTCACTTAAAAATTAAACGTAACGGTGGTAAATGTATTATTCAGAAAATCAGAATGTACAATTTTCTATGCTTCGTGTTTATAACACAGAAACACAGCATGCAGGTATAATGTTGTTTAATTTTTTTTTTTTAAATGGAATAAAAAATTATTTGTTTTGTCAACCATAATTTATTATGATCATTCTTTGTATCAATTTCATAAATTATTAAAATAGAAAAAAAATCTTATTCGAATCTTATACTTAATAGCAAATATTTGAAACACCGGCCAGTCATCACAACTCGCGAAAAAGATAACTCCCATATTATATTGAAAACCTTTTTACTAATCAGTTAAAATAGTGCTGTACTATTTCACGTTTTTATAAAAATAACAATAATTTTTATATTAAAGTAATAATTAATATTATTTCACTTTTATTTCAAATCCAAAAAAAAACTCGTCTTACGAAAATATAAAGTAAAACGATAACAATAGTAAATAATAGAACAACTTACAAAAGTTAATACAAAATTTGATATATTTCTAAATTGAATAAAACATAATATATAATAAATTATATCATATATAACAGTAAAAATTTAACTAGTAATTTATAATTTGATCAATGTAAGAGTATAAATTACTTGGATTTAGAGTTACGTTTACTTTTTGAACTCTTTTTGTTCTTAGTTTGTGACTCAATTTCTGGCCCTGATGATTCAAACACAAGTGGAGTAGACACTCTGAATATGGTTGGAACCATTGTTGCTAGTATTCCAAACACTTCTTCAGATATTCCCTAAGTACATTATTATTATTTTATATTTTTTATTCAGTTTATAAATACCCTAAACAATTGAACAGTAATATATTAATACTTACTTTTGGAACTAGGAACTGGATAGTTTTCAGCTCTGATCCACCTAATGATACAGATTCTATCATAAATCCTTTAACACACTTTAAAACTAGTTCTGCTCGTTTCTGACACCAAGGAACGGTCATATCCTAAAGAAATAATCAATAATTTAAAACACCAAAACGATAATGAGTGCTTAGATAGTTGACTTTAATTTAAAATTAAATTTTAACGAAGAGTCTTGTAACTTTAAAACTGAGGTGAAGATACACATTGAGGTTAGTAACTCAAGAGAGCAGATTAGGAAAGAATATAATAATTAACTTTGCTTATAAAGTTAAAATCCTAAAAAAAATATAAAAATAAAAAAAATCATCGGAGGTAAAATAGTATACATACGTCTTTTAGGCACAACTTTTGAAAACGTATACATACACATTAGTGCTCGTCAAAGGGTTAAAAAGTCTGAATCTCAAAAAGTATTCTTTTTTAAATTTTAATGTGGTCACCCTTAGCATGCATTGAAGAATTTGTAATTACCTCAGTCATTTCATGGGTCAAAAATAACGGAATTGTTATCATAGTAATATCATATGAACAAGCTGTTTTCAATATATTCCTTAATCCCAAGATTACTGGATGTCTTGAGTTGATATCACCTAAAAAACATTAAATAATTACAAGCACCTTTTTTTTTTGCATATACACACTAAACAGCTAACCTGATTTTAATGAATCATCAATAACCATATGAAATACGAGATGAACCGAAGCAAGATTTGAATGTTTTGTAATGTAAACGTCACCACATTGTAAAAGTTTTGATTTATTTCGTCGAGCCTACAATTTCATGAACTTCGTATTTATAGAGGAATTTAATTAATTAATAAATACCTTACCTGTAATTCTGGGGATAAAAAATTACTAACAGGTCCCTTACACTTCCGATTTTCGACAGCTACTTTAAGATCAGATTTGATAATTTCTAGTTGATCCTGTAAAGAATCAAAGTGAAATTCTGTACTGCCTTCGCAAATATCAAAAAACTCTATAACAAAAATAACAATTTATTATTCAATTATTGAGTCAATATAAAATTATATTAAAAATTACCCTTTGCTAGACCAGAGTAGAAATCTAAATTATTTGTATCAATAAATAAAACAAGACCTTTAAGATCTTGAGAATATAATTCTAGTACTGTTTGCAACCTTTGAGGATGATGTACAACTGCTCTAAAAAAAAAATTGTAATGATTAATATTAATAGTATAATTTGCATCACATAAATTAAATACCCGTTTTCTTCCAAAGTTAAACTTAAGAGATTTAAAGTATCTGCTGACATAATGCGAATATTATGGGTAGATTTCATTTGTGACCCAAGATGTATAGTGAAGCTTTCTTCCATATCATATAACGACATATTTGAAATAGTAAATCCATTTGTTACAATACTAATAGGAGAATTCCTAAAAATTATTAGCATTTAATTTTTTGTTCAGAAAATTAAGTTTATTGTTTTTAGTTTTTACCCAATAGGAGAATACAATCCATCAACGCCTTGCATTTCTTCTACTGTTTTCATAACCCATTCTCTATACCCAGTGCGCTGTTCCTGCTTCAAAGTATCAAGTCTACTATTCCATTTACCCTAAAAACATTTAAAAATATGAAATATTTTGTTGATTTCAGTAAAATAATAACACAAACATAAAATCTGTGTATCGTCCCTGACATATAATTACAAAAAGTTCATGGTTCACTACCTGTTAATGCTAATGCTATCATACAGATAAGATATAATGTCTGTATTTAACCGGATAGTTAAATATATAAATAAAAACCAAACATTATCTTACCTAACTAGCAGGTCCAGATAAAGACCTACGATACTGTATTCTATGAAAATGTTCGTGCCTATATTTTACTAATATAAAATGTTTTATTTTATATTTAATTTGTGTTTTTTAATTCATTGTATA